GTCTTTTGAAGTACTAAGTGAAATTTTATATTTTTCATAAGATTTTAAAACAAGAACTTGATGCCAGAAATACACTTGGAAATGAGGACAGCTTGCCACTGGCAAGCTCTGCTTAAACCTGTTACATGTACACATTGAAAGTGTATCCAACACCTTCATGTATTTCCCATCAGATAAAATGTAGAGACAAAAAAAAGTCAGCAAAAGTTAGAGCTAAATTGCATCAATCTTTTACTGTAGCAAATTCAGGGAGTGACTAGCTTGAAGCAATACATGGTGAAGTGGAAATCATTTTTCTCCAGTTCTACCTACTTTAGACACTATCAATTCCATCCTTAGGAACAAAGAGGGAATTTGGGTGGGAATTAGGAAAGGAGAAGCTGGAATTGCTTAGGAAGATATACATTTAATTACTCGCTCTTAGGAGATGTTTAGTGAAGGGCTTTTTTTTAAAGAACAATCTGAATCAGCCGTTACAGTTTGTATTTATTTTTTTTAATGAAGGGAAAGCAAATGGTGTCCAAGGTAAAGTGATTTTTTTGGACTTGTTCTCTTCATTTACACCAATAGGCCTGTCTAGGAGTTATGACAAATTTATACAGACCTTTAATCAGTCAAGAGTTGGCAAAGAAACTGACATCCATAGAGTCACACATTATGTAGAACGGATCCTTTTACCTCAATGGTCAACATCACTGTAAGTTGTGTGTAAGAGTAAGCGGCTGAACATTTCACAAGAAAATGACCTCAACCTCTAGCTCACTGCCGTGGCTCTGAGGCAATTAGCTTTTTCCTTTTCAAAAGGAAGCTGCTGCTTCAGCATCTTCTCCTGGAGCTCCTGGCACCATTTCAGGCCATGTGTCAGGGGAACCCTTGATCACATCACAATGACGGAAGCCAAGTGCTGGCCTGCAAGAATTGAGGACTGTTTGTTCACAGAAGATCCTGAGCAGAAACACGGGTGTCACATAGTTCAAGGGGGCCTTGAAGGAAACTGATGCTGCTGTAGGAGGGGACTTCCAAAGGCTCAAGTTATTTCTCAGTTGCTGTTCCAGAGCCCTCTCCTGGCTTTTATGGAATTTGGCCAAGAGTTGTTGCTTAGACAGTTTCTCCCTGTAGTCCCTTGACTTAGCAAGATTTTGGACGGGAAAATAGAAGAGTTTTCTTATATTTTCAAGTAGTGCCACAGTGACTGCTACTCTCTGGGGAGAAAAGTATTTTATTCATGAATGCAGTATGTGTTCTTGGTAAAACCCCAAATTAAACTAGCTCACTGTTTTTGTCCTGCGAAATGTTGGTGACATTTAGGTGTGTTGTTTGGTGTGCTGACTCAGTTTCCTGGAGGATAGCTGGCAACTCCACATTGAGGCTTTTTTAGTGGGGATGAAAAAGTCAGTTACTTCATGTTTTAGAACATTTGGGGTTAAAATTCCTAAAAGTTAAGCTTGAACACTGATCCTGAAAAACTGTGGCTAACCGTATTGCCTATAAGCCTAGGAATTTGCAAGAAGTAGTATTCTCAGCTCTATGCTAATATCAACAGTAATTCTTTATTTGAGCAACAGTTTTATAGAACAAACTGTTCTTTGCTCTGTTGTTAGTAATTATTTTCTTACTTATTGGTATGTAGGTGTGCTCTGGTCTTTTTTTTTTTTCTTTTTTCATTCCCCAGATTTATACAGTGCATGCAGAAGTAGTTAGAACTTAAAATACATACACAATAAAGGTGTTTAAAAAAAATTAAAATAATAAAATAAAATACATACACAGGCCACATTCTTATTGTACTCAAATGCTGATTTTGTCAAAATGACTAATCTATGATTGGGACGTAAAGTAGACCTTCTGAAACAAGCTGTCCCTCTTGTCGCTGTACTGCCTTCTTAAGAGCAAGTCCTGTATTTAAGTACATAATGTCTTGAGGCATTGAAACTTGACTGAATTACTTCTTCACTATTACAATTAAAAATTAAATACTGGGCTCCCCTGGTGGCGCAGTGGTTGAGAGTCCGCCTGCTGATGCAGGGGACACGGGTTCGTGCCCCGGTCCGGGAAGATCCCACATGCCGCGGAGCGGCTGAGCCCGTGAGCCATGGCCGCTGAGCCTGTGCGTCCGGAGCCTGCGCAACGGGAGAGGCCCCAACAGTGAGAGGCCCGCGTACGGAAAAAAAAAAAAAAAAAATTAAACACTGAAGTGTAATACGTGGTGCCACATCCTGCTAGGTCCAAGGCCTATATTTCTGAAAAGCTTTGAGGAGTTGGTGAAGATGGGAGGGGGACTGGGAAGTCCCCCTGGGGCTCAGACTTTGGAAGAGTTGGAGAGCAGGGGAGAGGAACACGGAACACCAAGCCTTTGAGGTGTGGAGAGGGGATTCCTGGCTTCTAGATATAACCAGTGACTGGAAAGATGGCAGTGAACAAATCCTAGATACAATGGTCACGCATCTTTAATCCATTGGATGAGCTAACTATGGGTAGCCCAAATCAAATCACCTAAAATAAGTTAATTTCCTCTTAAAATTCCTACATCCTTATTTTATACCTTGGAAGAAAAAAGCCAAAATAAAACCATATAGTACATGTACTTCCATCACAGCTAGGTAATGCTATAGTTGCATATGGAAGATATTAAGTAAAATGAAAATGTGTTATGGTAATAGGCTTAATTATTATTTGTGATCTTTAGGGTATGGGATTACAAGGAACTTTCTGCATTACATCTTTGTGTAATGTTTCAAATTTTATAACAAGCATGTTCTAGTTTTATATACTTAATCAGGGAAAGGCTATACAGATAAAATACTTTATACTTACGATTTAAGATTATCTTTAAGGCTTTTCCTTTTGTTGGGGGAAAAGCTCCAATCACACTTTAATTCACCTGGCAAGGTTAGGTAGTTGTTGTTCCCCAAAAGTATATATTTACAGAGATTGGTGCAGGAAAAAAAAAGTGGAATAAAAGAGGCAATTTTTAACCTAGAGTTCCCAAAGTGAATAGAAAACAGTTCAAGAATCCCTGATAATAATAAGCCACATGGCCCATGTAACAAATACTTTGAAAGTTATTCTAACTTTTACAAATGTTATATAAAAACCTATCTGGAAAATCCCAGGAGCCCGAGATTCAGTCCATGAAATTTTTTGTTGTGCCACTCATCATTTATGGAGTCTAAATTTCAAGGGCAGAATTTCTTCTTCAATACCTGTATATTCGAAGACCAAGGAAAAGGATCTCACCAACTTCATGTAAGCTTTTCAGTGTATTCTTTCTAATTGACAGTAACAAAGTTTCATAAGATGGGCTCTTGGGAGTTTGGATGTTTTCCCTCCCCTTACAGGCTCACTTACCTGCATACTATATAGTGAAGTTCTCTGCAATTGATCCCTTACTGTAGACCTCCCCCAGGGTCACATTTTGTAAATAGAACCTGCTTCCATACGCTGTCTTTGGATGTGGTCTTAACATTTTCTCACGTTTGTAGTTTTTCCTGTGCACGGTGGGTAGAAACACTCTTCCAGACTCTTCCCATTGGCATCAAAATACCATCCCGGTCCCTGATTTGCAATTCCACTGACGAAGGAAGCATGTATGCAGGACGGGCGTAAATTGCCCATACGGCGTGCTGCATTCACATTGCTCTTCCTTTACTGTAACTCTTAGACAATTCTGAATGTGAAAACACAACATATTGCGAAATCTGTGAATTCTAAGACGTTCATACCCACAACATTGTATGTTTTTGTTTGCTTGCTTATGTCCATCCCGAAATTTAGACGTATGGTTCTTAGCAGAGGCTGGGCTGGGAACTGAGGGTCTGGTCTTAATAGAAATACTTTTGATTGCACAACCACCCTGTCCTCTTGAAGTAGGTAAATCCTAAACCCTCAGAAACGAAGCCTCAGAAACACTAAAACCCAAACCCACACAAACGGTTGCGCGGGTCCTAAATAACCATCTTGTGCCGCCCGTCGGGCTCTCCGGCGAAAGCTCGCAGGAAGCACGGGACAGTGGAGACGCGGAGGCTCGGGCCGTCTGGGCAACCGGGAGGGCCTCGGCTCGGCTGGGCGCGCGGGGTCCCCGCGGGGCAGGTGCGCCGTCGCGCGCGCGTGCGCCCCAGGGCCCGCCTGAGCCCCGCGGCGGGCGCGACCCCGGGCGGCGGGCGAGCCGGCGGCGGGCGCTCCACGCCGGGTTTTCCGCCGCTCCCCTCGCCCCGGCCCCTGGCAGCAGCACTAACACACACTCTAGCGCCCGCGCCTCCCCAGCCGGGCTTCGGAGCGAGCGGCGCGGGTCCGCGCGGGGTGATGCTTCGGCGAGGCGGTGGGGCGGCAGGGGCCCCTGGCGGGCCGTGGCTCCGGGCGATCTCGGCGTGAGAGAGCCGAGGAGGAGCCGGGCGGTGCCAAGGGCCGTGCGGGGCGCTAGGGGTAGTGTTCCCGGAAAGCCGCGGCGATGGAGCCGCGCTGCGCCCGCCGCCGGAGGAGTTGAGAAAGAAAACAGGAAACGTGGTGGCTGCGCACCCGGCCGCGGCTGATTCATTCGCTTTGAGTGAAGGCTCGGCAGGAGGGGCGGGCGCGGGGCCGCGGCTCGGGGCCGGGCGCCGCGCAGATCGCGCCGTGGACCAGACGCTCCCTCCGCGGGGCGGGCTCCCGGGCGCGCGCGCCATCCCCTTCGCCGTCCTCCGGCACCAGGACTTCTTAAAAGTCGCATCTTGAGGGTTTTGGTCCGTGTAGAAGTTGGCTTGCCGCACTTGGCGCGCCCTTCCTGGACGCCGAACAGAGTCGCCAAGCTGGAGAGGGCGTGCGTTCCCGAGGCCGTCCGCACCGTTAGCAGAGCCCCGGCCCCCGTCGCGGTGCCCGGCTCGTCAATATGAAGAAGCAGCCCTCATGTGCGGGCACCGGGCATCCGAGCATGACGGGGTACGGCAGGATGGCCCCCTTTGAACTCGCCGGCGGCCCTGTGAAGCGCTTGAGAACTGAGTGCCCCTTTCCCTATCTCTTCGCAGAGGAGGCCTACCAGAAACTGGCCAGCGAGACCCTGGAGGAGCTGGACTGGTGTCTGGACCAACTAGAGACCCTGCAGACCAGGCACTCCGTCAGTGAGATGGCCTCCAACAAGGTAAGCCCCGGCTCGGCTCTCACCGAGGCTCCTAGGCTGCTGATTCCCACGCTGGTGAAGCCACCAGTCCCCGTGGCCCGGGGAAATACATACAGGGGTTTGTCACACTCACTGCATTTTGGCTCCCTTAGAAGGAGGTTCCTGATGCCATGCCTCCCCTCTCTCTTCTATTCACTCCAGAGAAATTAAACATTTTGCAAAAGCAACTTTGACATAGTTTGACTGCAGTACCCCCAAGGCACTGTTCGTGTGTGTGTGTGTGTGTGTGTGTGTGTGTGTGTGTGTTTGGAGGGGGTACTTCTAAGTGACACTTTGCCCTTGCAACAGAAACCGAGTCTGGTCTACAGGCAACCCATGTTGTAGGGTATTCTTGGGATTCCCAGTGGAAAATAAGAGTTACTAGAGGTCAGTGCAATCCCTTGGATGTCACCACCTACTGAACTCAAACGCAGAAGAGTTCACTGAACTTGGAACCTTAACCCCCATTTATCTAAGTGTCAGGGTACTCTGTAAGAACTGAGCCTTTATCTTTTTGCTTGGCCATATGTGTCCACAGGGGACGTCAAAGTTAAGGTTCATTGTGATCACTGCCTTTGTTTCCGTGAATCTTGGAGAGAGAGTCCAGTTTTCTGAGGTTATTTAGTTACAGTGATGCTTCAATGGGGCATTTGTGCCGTATGCCAAGGTGCTGGCCTTGGTGGATAGTGGAGGTTTGAGGGCTGAGAATCAACCCTTAGCCTGGCACAGCCTTAAAGCAAGGTAGAGTGTTGTCAGTTTTGGTGTATTTTTTGGAATTCCTTGTTTGTTTTTTTTAAAACAACCTTCAGTTATGTAAGGAAATAATTGGGCTTATGTATGTTTTTAATGATTGTTTGGCTCAGGGGATAGGAAAGGAGGCATGGGCATGTTGGATGCAGGTGGCTGAGGGATTTAGCCAGTAAGGACTGGTAACTTTGTGTGGTGATTAATAACAGTTGCCCCTAAAGATATTTAAAGATCTTTGGCCACCTATTTACAAGGTCAGGAAGGTATACCATTTTACTGTTTATCTACATGCACATATTTTTTCAGAGAGCTATGCTTTTTTTTTTTTTTTAGTTTACTATAGTTTTTATCCCACCTTTTTTTTTTCTCATGTAGTTTTAAAAAATATCATAGCATATCACCCACTTGATTGTCTTATCTGTTGACAATGCTTATGCAGACAGCATGGTTTTTAAGTAAAAAGTTAGCTTCAAATAAGATAAAAAGGACACCCCAGTCACTATCTGAGGGCACTAATCTACCCGTAAGCACACTGACCTACCCATATGCACACTGATGATCAAATCTGTATTTTTTTTCCTGTCATTGAAGCCTCATTTCTAAATTTGGTATGGCTCCGCATCAAAATGATGGGTTATTACTCTCTTACTCCCTGCCGTGGCATCAGGTGCCATTGTTCTCATCTGGCTAACAAATTCTTAGTTCGTTGATTCATTTTATAACATATAGATTGTTCTTTCATAATTTGGTTCATAATAGCAGTAGACATATGCTGAGTATCTCCAGTGTCCTAAACGCCGAATGGGACCATTCTGCAGTGGGCCTGAGTTCTTATTCTCTTGTCTGGTTAATTCTGTGTAGTAAAAGGAAAAACCAGAAGGCACCAAAAGATGTGCAAGCCTTTGCTTATATTTTCGAGATGATTTGACAGTACTTTTTTAGCACAATGAACCTCAGCGGCTACAATTACTTTCCCGCTAATCCATACTCTTAATGATGAGACCTCTATTTGAATTTAAAAGTTAACATGAAATCTAATCATGTATTGTAAATGACTTCAACTGTCAAGTATTAATTTATCTATACTTTAAGATGAAAAAATAAAACTTGAGGTCACAATGATTGGTCAAAATGATTTCTTTCTTTTAAGGGCATTTCTTTCTTTTAAAATTCCTGTCTTTTAAAGACAGGGTTTTTTTTTTTTTAATCTTTATTGTGAAGGCCCCTCAGACTTTAGGTTAATTTACAGGTTTAGTGTAGGAGGTGAATTTATTTGGTTGAAGTGAAATCTAGGTTAAGTAAGAAAAGACTTTTTCAAAATATAGTCATTCTAGCTGTGTTTGTGTCTTGTAAGATTATTGACATGACACTTTTTTTAACATCTTTATTGGAGTATAATTGCTTTACAGTGGTGTGTTAGTTTCTGCTTTATAACAAAGTGAATCAGTTATACATATACATATGTTCCCATATCTCTTCCCTTTTGCATCTCCCTCCCCCCCCCCCCCCCTATCCCACCCCTCTAGGTGGTCACAAAGCACCGAGCTGATCTCCCTGTGCTATGTGGCTGCTTCCACTAGCTATCTATTTTACATTTGGTAGTGTATATATATGTCCATGACACTCTCTCACTTGACACTTATTTTTAACATTAAAAAATTCAACTCAGCTGAAGCTGTTGATTAAACTTTTCATGTCTAATTCATTCATCTCTTTTTTTTTAAAAAACCCATTCAATTCTAAATGAGTGCTAAGCTCCTGTGACTTTTTATAGATGAAAACGGGTTAGCATAGAAGGAATAAGAGCTCTTGGTAAAGGTTGTAAAGTTACCCTTCAGCCAGATAACAAGGGCACAAATAAGTCACATCCACATGAGCTGTAAACTGAGTTGGAGCAGCTGGTCTAAAGGTCCCCAGGAGTGATGCCGAACCTAAGTCTGAACTGGAAATGTGACAGCTTACGTCACATGTCCGCTAGGTTGTCGAGCATCTCTTGAGTGTGAATGAATAAGTCTGAAACATTGCTTTTGATTATTAGTCTTATTGCCATCCATTCTTTTCACGTGTACTTGTTCGAACCAAACCAGTGTTTCCCTTGAAAAGTCATGAAGTTTTTCTTTGTTTTCTTCTCTTTTTTCAGGCTTAAAAAAAAAGTACTCTAATAGATTAAAACGACACGATAAAATACTAGTAAGAAATCAGGATTTTTAAGTGATTATGTAGAGAAAATATTTATTATGGAGGTGGATTTGGGTGTTAGGAAGAAGGAAATTGATTCCTCAAACTCATTTAACAAATTGGGTTAATGAATTCTTCATATTTTAAAAAATCTTAATAGAAGGAATCTGAACTATTAGCTTTTAAATGATGCTTTAGAAGCAACTAGATGTATTTCCTGATTGGGATTGTAATGTGCATAATGCTTATTGATGGTATTGAGACAGGAAAATTATTGAATTTTTGGCCACTGCCAACGTTGGCTATAATACATGTAGGATGCTTGTACCAAGTAGGGTAAGAGACTCCAGATGGCATTTAGTTTGAGAGGTTAAATCTACAGCATTTAGCCTAATAAGCCCATTAATCTGCCCAAGATTTGTACAGATTTCCTTTGAAACCTCACTGCTAGAGTTAAGAGAGGTTTTGGTGAGGTCTCAAAGCTTTGGAGGCAGACAGACCTGGAAGTTGAATCATAGTTTTGTTCCTTACTAGCTGAGTTACATTAGAGAAATGACAAACTGTTTTTAGCTTCGGTTTCCTTAGCATAAGATGAGCACAATGATATCTATTTCGAAAGGTCAGTGTAAGAATTTGAAAGAATATGTGTAAAATAGTTAGCTAATAGTGTCTGACAGGGACTATACCTGCCATTATTGGTATTATTATTGAAGGTTTAGGTTAAACTTGATTGGTTGCCTACTTGGCTAAAATATTTTTTTTACCATTCAGTTGTCATTTATACTTGATGTTTTAAGTTTCATGGGTTTTTATAATACAATTCTTAATAACTGTCTTTAGTGCACAGTTCTGTATTGTAAAAAATGCTTAAATTATATTTATACTTTTTTTAGTATAATATAGACACAAACATTTTGAAGTTCTAAATAGAAGCTTAATCTTTTCTTAAATTTCAGCTACAGAATTCCAGACAGCTAAATACTTTTTCTCTTTTATTCTAAAACTGAAAAAACAGCACTGATTAATTTTGAGAAAATATTAAATATAATGTGGGATTGGTAGGTACATTTCCATCCTTTTGCACAGGTTTTGCAAAGCTAAAGTAACTCTTGAGACTGTTTTTAAGGCAGAATAGCTTCACAGTGTTTTTGGTTACCTTTCTCTCATAGAAAGTAAATGAGGATGTGAGGAGTGCAGGCTAGGATCTAAGCCTCAAGGGTTATGCTGTGGAACCCTGTAACTTTATTCTCTTGTGACCTAATAATGCACATTTCACCACACCTTCAATGTAAGTGTGGCGATGTTTGAAGGAGAAAAAATCATCTTGATTTTCCCCCAAAATATACTACTACAAAAATGTATTGTTTCTTCTCTCTAAATTTGGGGCAGTTCCGAGGCTTGGCATTGCTGGAACCTACCATGCTTCAAGCTGAAAGTCTGCCTTGAAGTTAGGATTCAGGCATCCTTCTAAGAGACTTAAGGTTTTTCTTTAGTTCTTTCTAGACGTACGTAGGCCAGCTTTGCAAATGTGAACATGACTTTTATATGGAATTTAGTTTGTCTGTTTGGCTTTTAACAAAGATCTCTATCATGTTTCTGTTGCCTATAAATTAAGTTGCTTTTCTGGGGTGCTTTTTCTTAGTGTTTTTGCGCTCTGCTCCCCCTGCTGCTTTTTAATAGTCAATGCATACTTAACATATACTACAGCTTTCTGTGACTGCTGATATATTTTCTTCTGGGCAAGAGTGGTCCTGGAATGAATATAGAATGTTTATAGAAGTGGCTAAATCTTAAGACTTTTCAGCATTACATGATTATAAGATAGCTCAGAACAGAAATAAATGTTTAATTTTGCTGAGAAGGAAGGTGAAACTAGTTGGAAAAGGCATTTTAATTTTATGAAGAGCAAATAGCAAATAACAGTCATTTACTTCAAAATACTAAAACTTATTGGCATGGTCATACAGAGTTGTTGAGAGTTAATCAGCATACCTAAAGGAAAACTCTAAATTTTAAAAGAAAACATCTTTCGTAAATATAGAAATTCAGCTTACTGA